GAAGAAAGTGAGAATGAGGAAGAGGTGGACAGTGTTGCCAGTAAGAAAGTATCACATGGTGCTGCGCTTAATCATTTGGAATCCTTACTAGACTATCTTGAGAGTGAAGAGGACAGTTTATTAAGTGACAAGCTAATATTACGTAGGCTTCGTACGGATATCCGTAAAAAGGAAAATGCCGCGAAAAAGCAAAAGACAGTATTAAATTATTTTAAGTGTTAAGTGTGACCGTAAAAAGTGCTGGATGTTGTTGAACAGTGATTGAAATAACTAATTCATACTGAGTGTAATGTAAAGAAAGTATTAAATAGGCCATGAGATGACATAGAAATGAGGATGAATAAATTTAAATACAGGTAGGTCTATAGTATTATGAAGGTATTAAAAGGTAAAAGGTAAAGTTGTTCCTCTGCTCAACGAATTAAGCCCTACGCCATTAAGGCGTGTGGGGGAGTGGATGTATAGATCCAAATTTTCTTGACCTCGGCACTAGTTGGAGGTGAGTGGTCAGCTTCACGCCCCGGCCGCTTTACCCCCGGGGAAAGAGCCCCCGGTACCCATTGGATAGGAGGTTGGATGGACCCCAGAGCCGGTCTGGACGATTTGGAGAAGTTAAAATTCTTGACCCTACCGGGACTCGAACTCCGACCCTTCACAGTCGTCCAGCCCGTATAATAAAATTTGGCTTAACCGGGTTTTCGATTAACCGTGACTTCCATCCCCACCATTAGCCCGGATAATCGAGAGTTGACTGTATTATAAAACCAAACATTCACCCAGTGAAGCCAGTATCTTTAACGTCTCAGTTTTTTCCTGCAAAAGAAAACAACACTGAAAGCTCCAAATTATAATTGGCTGTCCACGGCTCTGGGAGCAAATTCTGCGAAACTCGCTGTTTTATGAAAATTTGCTGTTATTTCCAAGTCACAGACAAACATCTTACGCACTAAATGGTATGGTTGGCTGCCCTTGATCCTGGAAGCAAATTCTGCACACTGTTTTATGACAAGCTCCTGCATTCACACACCACAGACCAACACCTGAAGCTCTGAAATATATGGCTGGCCGTCCAGGATCCTGCAAGCAAGTTCTGCTGAACTTGGCGTCGTGGTAAGTTGCTGCATAACCCACAAATACTTGCTGCAAATAACCTGACACAATGGCATATTTGTAAATATTTCAAACATAACAGATTTCCTACCAGTCGACAAACAACTGTATGCATACCCCCTGAAAAAAATCACCTCTGGGATAAAACTAGGCTGCTACTCAAACATACATCATTTCATGAAATCCTTGCATTTCAGCATCTAACAGGAGAGAATATACCCAGTTAATGTCCACACCATGCACTCCACCTCTACATACAAGCACCTATAACAATTTGAATTTGAAACAGCTCATGCACATTTCAAAATATACACTATAACTTCATGAGATGCCAACCATCAAGCTCCCATTGTGGTCTCTCCAAGATCCTTTGGTTATTTCCCTCGGTTACTGAAACCTACAAAGTACTTGCAAACAACTACAGCTTCTCCAGCTGCCCAATGGATTACAGTTCATTCCAACCAAAACCCACATATAATACACAGAGATTATAACTCCAATGACAATACTTCCAGTCTCTTCAAACTGACAATTCTTATGAAGCACGTCCCTGTTAGAAGCATTCTTATATAAGCCCTCATTCCTTGTAAAACATAAAACCTCCATTCACTCATCCATTCAGATATCCTGTCAATTCATGGAATACCTCCCAGTCACATTACAAGAAGACAGCAAGTACCTGGTCCCCTGCACCAATATCCATCTCTTCTTTGTTTTTGTGCACACCGTTGGCGATGTTGGGAGACTGCTCTTCCATGGCCAACAGCAGATTGCAAGTGTGGTAATCGAAGCCTATGGGTGGCAACACAAAGCTAACCTTAACCTGGGTCAAGGTACCAACATGACCCAACCGCTTTACATAGTTAATTCCGCCAAAACTCGTGGTGCATATAAAATTTTCTAGCACACACTATACATACATATTTGTATTCATATGCAAAACCTCTTATTCATTCACATAACTGGACGATTAAATGACTTTTATGCCCAAATAACCAAATTTCTACACAGAGTAAAATCATGGCATTCTCACCAAAATAAAGTTATACAAAACATTGTATAAACAATGTACAGAATTTACTTGGTGCCAGTACCTTTGGGAGATATCCCTACACATATAAGACTGCTATCACACAAAATTCATTCCTAAAGGAAATATAAATCAGACTAAATCCATTCTAACACCTTCAGTCCTGCTTGCAAATTCATCACACTATGTTCCATGTCTCCTGGCCATCTTCCTTAGAGGCAAGTTCTTCAACCATATTATTGAACACATCTCAACATACCGATGTTTTCTTACTTGCTGCTTTAACTATAATACAAATGCTAAAGCCTGCATTATGCTGCATATTCCAGAATCACAGGACTAAACATGTTCAAACTTAAAAGTATAAAAATCTACATAAACATGCAAACTCGAACTATTAACATATGATTTCCACAGTACTGGATTTAAAAATTCTGTAACAGAAACTTAACCACAATCTCACAGAACAGTGTAATAAAATTAAACTGCACAAAATGAACCCAGTCCTTCATTTTGGAACAAAGTAACTGCTAATAACAATTTTAATCTAATCAAATATGAATGTATAACTTCACATATTTATTTACTTACCCTTTGATGAATCATCATAGCCAATATGTTTCACGGTCTCCCGTACAACCTTCTGGTAATCAACATTGGCCTTTGATGTGATTTCACCACATAGAAGAATCATCCCAGTCTTTGTAACAGTCTCTGTAACAACCATGCATTACACTAACAACTTTCACATCCTTTTCAAAATGTGAATATGCAAGGAGGATTTTTACTTTGTTGACCGATTCCACAGTTCTCCGCTGCACAATGATCGGGGTCCCACTTGCCACAAGGCATATATAAATTCTGTCAATGAACCAAAATGTGTGATGACTGATAACATTTGGAATGATGCAGTTACAATTCACAGATCACAGGTGTTGAAAATGCTGTCCCTCCACATCTTTCACAATTGTTTCATTAAAAGCAGAGGCACAATGATCCTTCTTGCACTTAGAGCACACCAGATACCAACTTTCACTGCGCAGAAGAGATGTCATAAAGAAATTCTCACTGCTCTGAAGTATACCACACTGCTCACTAACTGTAGCTAAGAACAAATGGCTTATGGAGCCGATATCTGCTGCCTACTGCTGACAAGCCATAAAGAAACTCCCATGCACAAACCACACGCACTTCCTGCCATGGAACATAATGCTGTGAAGTGATCCACAAGCTCAATACTTCCCTTCAGTTCAAAAGTTATTGGCCATCAGGCATGCTGCTTCATCTGCAAAACACATATGTACCTCGCAGCAAGCGGTGCCCTGGTCAACAGTTAAAAGAACTCGATACATAGCCCAATGTCCACACACCACACCACAAGACATGAACCCCTGGACTTAAAACATAATTTCGGAAGCTTATTGTTGGGTTTGGTTAAGTGATAGTTATAAACTGTTACCTTCCTGCATCAATTTCAAACATAAAACCCTCTGAAGTTTTTGTTTTGGATTACTCAAAACAATTACAAAACTGGTTATAATCATTCTAGTATTAATCAAGCTCCTAAATGACATCTGCTACTTACTGTTTTGAGCCTTGCTTAAAAATTTACCTTTAACCTGGCCTCTATTTAACAAAATGCATAAAAGGTAAAGCTATTCTTGTAACAGGCCATGGAGGCCTTAGGGTTGTGGGATGTTGAGGCTCTCACATTTTCCAGACAATCAGCTCACAGATGGTTCATAAGGTGACAGCCTTACGCGCCAGGCACCCTTTACACCTCAGGGAGATTCCTGGTACTCATTTCTGTTAGAGGCTGAGTCAACCCCAAAGCCACAGTGCTGCTAGAAGGACTAGGTCAATTGAAAAAAAAAAAAATTCAATGACCTCATCAGGAATGAAACTTGTGACCTAACAAGAACTTTTTCCAAAACATATGGTTATGTAAGCACCTTCAAATTTTCAAGTTGGGTAATGAATGCAAACAGGAAAGACATTTATGTTGTGTTCTGACACTGCCATGCACATACATATCAACACAGTGAGTGTCAAGGCTAATGGTAATAAAATGTAGCTGCACATAAAACCATACATATCAACACAGTGAGTGTCAAGGCTAATGGTAATAAAATGTAGCTGCACATAAAACCACACGTATCAACACAGT